TTTTTTTAGATAAAAAACTTATTTGGTTAGATGATTTCAAAAATAATTTTATAATACAGAAAATAGTAAAATCTGTTTGGACATCCTAAATATATATTTAAAAAATAATTCAAAAATTAATAAAAAAAATTTAAAAAATTATTTTTATATTGACAATTTCATAATATATAGATATAATATATATAAAAACATATATATAATATTATATATATATATATATGTCTATATATATATATTTATATATATTATATATAATATTTATTTATATTTATATAATAAAACATGAGTATGTTTAAATTTTATCCCAGTCATATTTTCACCCTCAAAACCATCATCAATTACTTACCTCACCAATCATTCTTTTGTCAAACTCAAACGTCAAATCACATCACTCATTTTTATCACATATTTAATCATTTATATATTTCCTCCCTAAAAATATCACACTACTCATTTCTATCATATATTTAATCATTTAATATTTAATTAATTTGTAGTTAATATATTTTGAAAAAAATTAATATAGTAGGATTTATTTTTTAGATGGTCGAATTTTATATTTTATCGTGCTTCAGGTACGGATTATGACTAGTTTATATATATATATATATATATACTCATATCTGTATATCCAAAATTGTTTTCCTTATTTCTAAAATTTTCAAAGAAAACTCTGAAAATAAATTACACTTGTTTTCTGTTTATTTGATTTAAATCTCATTTTTTTCCATAATTTAAAGAATTAAAATGCTAAACAAACAGGTTTTAGATATTTTTAAAATTTTGAGAACAAAAAACTGTTTTCAGAACGTAACCCCAATTTTTGTAATTTTCAAACCAGCACCGTTTCCATCTTAGATCTGATCAGATCCTTCGTAGTCATTATTCTTCGAATGAAGACTGTTCACATCATTAGTCAAATGATGCGTTGTTTTAGTGTCGGAATGCCAGTCATCTCTTCCATGTCGCTAGTTAGCAGCTAGCACAGCTTGTGGTTGACGGACTTGATTGGGAGGGTTCTGATGCTGAAGATTAAAACGATGGAAATAACAGTGAGCTGAATGTCCTGGATTTCCACATACCTGACAAATGACATAAGTGGTGGTTGTTTGGTTGCGGCCTCCACCACCACCACCACAGTTGCCATGTCCCCCGCCTTATTATTTTCAGGACCTCTTTTAATATTCTGGTAATTTTGTTGAGGCTGAAATTATTGCCTAGGCTGAGTTTGCTAAATAGCAACATTAGCAGAACCAGAAAGCCTACAGTGGCTGATAGTTATGTTGAATATGAGATTCACTGGTCAGGAGAAGGGAATAAACTTCTTCCAAGGTTATAAGATCTACACGAGCAGTAATGGAGGCTACAAGGGAGTCATAATCATGTTTGAGACCCGCCAAAAGATATGTAATGACCTCATCACAAGTGAGTGCTTGTCCTGTAATGGCAAACTCATCAGTAATAGCCCGTCTTAGGGTCTCCCACGAGATTGAAAGCATAGTTCGATCCACGGGGTTCTCCTGTCTTGCTCACTAGTGCTTCGGTGGTGGTGCTGCGGTGATAGATTACTCCAAAGAGGTCTGTAGCTAAAACTAACTGGTCACCCCTCCAGCAGGTATGAAGTAAAAACTCATCAATAATTCATTTAATTGACATGAAGTAATCAGTGGCAGAGGGAGAGCCGTTGCTAGTTCAGTGCGCAATTGGATTGCACGGGCACGGGACAGGGAGGAAAAATTCCTTTCCAGGGCACTCCAAACTTCATAGGATGTGTTGTAGGTAATGACTCGTGCAACAACACCTTCTGTGAGCGTTGCCATAATGAGAGCATCCTGCTTGATCTAGACAGCAAGTGCAGGATTAGGAATGTGTGTAACAGAACCAGTCTCGGGGTGAGGAGCCTCTACGTAGCCGGTGGCTTGGTGATAGTACCATCAAGGTAACCAGTGACATCTTAGCCAAGGAAGTAAGAGATGGCTTGAGCTTTCCAAACCGGGTAGTTTTGATTGTTGAGCTTAACAGTGATTAGATTGGGCAAAGCTCTCAAAGGTAGGTGGAAGAGTGAGATTATTATCTGTGGTGTATGAGGAACTTGGAGAAGGCAGTGTTTTGTGTGACGTTGGTCTAGTGGCTCACTGATGCCAGGTAAAGTGAAAAGCCAATTTGTGAGAAATTTTTCTGTATGTTTTTCATTAATTGTAAATGTAATCCGATACAAGTATTTATAGAATTCTAGTTTAACTGAATGTCATATTTGGTAGCAGTCAATTTACAATGAATTTGAATAAATCAAAAAAAAAAAAAAATCCAGCTATATAGTTAGAAGGGACTATATGTGATAACTAGTTATTGAATGTGCCNAAAAAAAATCCAGCTATATAGTTAGAAGGGACTATATGTGATAACTAGTTATTGCATGTGCCTGAAGGGACAGAGTAATAAAAAATAGTAAACAATAAACATATTTGTATTCATATTCAAAATTAAATCACAAACATAGAGAATATTTAAAAAATTTTAAGTACCGATTTGTAGTGGAGGTGAGAGGTGGTGGGCGGCAATAGGGGTGGTAGGAGGCGGTGATGGTTGTGGTGGGTGACAATGATCGTGGTGATGGCGAGGGGTGACGACGATGGTGGCGGTGACAGCAGCAACGGTGGCGTCGACAGGTATGGTGGCAGTTATGGGGGTGGGGGGTGGCGAGGGCA